TACAGCACTCATTTCACTATTCGAAACGATTTTGGTTTCAATTCTTTGTTGTATTTCAACCCTCCAAATCTCATTATAGGTCCCTTTTCAAAAATACCCCAACCGCTATATCAGAATAATAGCCGGCTACTCGTTCCCATCTACATTCGGCTGCTCAGGCACATAAGTTTTTCTTCAACACCAACAAAGTCAATTGTATCAAAGATTCCCAAGTTTATGCCAGATGATTCCTAGTGTATTAAATTTTGTAGCTTTGTGTGGTAAAGAACATATTTTAATACACACATACTCATATACGCCCACACACACACACACATATATATATATATATATATATATATATATATGTGTGTGTGTGTGTGTGTGTGTGTGTGTGTGTGTGTGATGGCAAGTTTCCGAGCACACATGTCAGTTAGAGAAGGTACCCAATCCCTGCTGCAGTCACTTGATCAGGCACATTTGTGTTTTGTTGAACACCCAGGAAGCTCAGGTAGGTTTTATTCGGCATCTATTCTGAACAGGATTTAGTTACAATTTCTGAGACAATGTGCTTTATCTGGTGTGATCAACAATTTGAGCAAGATCAATATTCTTAAACTCTTTATTACGATGACTTGTGGTTCGCTGTCACAACAAGTTTTCTCTCAACCTGTAGTATTCCTTTCAGGCACTTTCCGAAAGTGCCGGACGCTAAGATTAACTCTGCAAGGTGAGATTCGAACCCGGGTTTCAAGGTCATAACGTGAATGTTCTAACCGCTTAACTACATCATGATGAGTATTTTTAACTCCTATATATATATATATATTCAGATTTCAATTTTCTTTTAGTTTTAACCTGTGGCTTTCTGAAAAAGCAGCATTTGCCATCTGACAAATGTTCACTTAAGAATCAGGTCTTGTGGCTAAGATTAGATGACCGGTTTGAGTGTCAATGTCATTGTTTTTTTTTTAAAAAAAAATATTGTCTATCATTAAAGAAATAACTTATCAGATTTGAACATAAACATTATCACAGGCACACTTCAAAAATACTTAAGAAATGAATCAATGTGAACCAAAAGAGCCATTCTTACAGCAGAAGCTCGACTTTACAAAATAGAAAAACAATTCCCACAAAAATATATCAGCGAAATATCCAGTGATTTAAAGCAAAGAATTTATGAGGATGCAATTAGACAAGACATCCAAAGCACTTGTTTCCCAACGATACGTTCATGATCAAAATGCCGTTTTAATAAAAAAAAGGAATATAATTTATTTAGACGATGATGAATTAAACAATTTCAGACGATGATTTCAGACAATGAAGCATTGAATGTTTCTCCATGATCTAAGAATCTTCCACAATTATGTTATTTACATTGTTCGAACTGTTGTCCTCATCTTTATAGCCATATTACGTTCGTTTCGGCCGTTGTATGCTCCGGCCTTCTTCGGGTGATTAGAATTTCAAACTGAACCCTTTATTTCGTTCACCGGGGTAGGTTGTTCTAGTTCCACGTGCCATGCCTCTTACGGATGTCTCAGTTATCTCCTTTAACTCGATTCTCCAAGTTTTTGTTCACCACTACAGTAGCCAGGTATTGAACTTACAAGCGACGCTTTAAAACATTGGGTCATGTGTCCGCCAAGAATAATATACAACCAGACTATTTCAATGTATCCCCCTTTACTTACGAAGTGATTACTAAAAGGAGAAAGCAGAAAAAAACGGTGAAATTAGTTAAAATCTTTAAAAAAAATTAAGCGTTTCGTCTCGTTAACGGAGATTTGATCATTGTGTAATAAAACCATTTTTCTGATGATGCCGGATCACTGACGAAATATGTTGGGGTAAATATCTGTCCATATTGTCTGATATATTTCTCATTTTGTCAGATTCTCATACAAATTTACCCACACACACACACACACACACACACACACACACACACACACACACACACACACACACACACGCACACGCATATGCATATAGGGTTAACCGTTATCTTCCACAGACCTGCAGAAACTGCGCTCTTAATCATACTGCTCGTACAACAACTTCTTTCAGTAACCCTCTATATTGAGTGGGCCTGATATGGGATGAAAAAATATATAAACACACACATATATATTTTAAGTTATCTTCTGTTTATACCTTATTTATATATATATATATATATACAGATATTTAAGTAAAAGTTCTCTTTATAATAAACAGTATTAACTATATTTACCGACCTGAATGCCCGAAAAATTTTCAGAGAAAATATGTCCTCCGACAGGAATCGAACCGTCATATAGCCTGATGTGCTATATCAGTTTAGTTTCGGAGGACAAATATCTTAGTTTATATATATATATATATATATATATATATATATATATATATATATATATATATATATATATATATATATATATATATATATATATATGAGAGAGAACGATATATATTTTATATATCAAAAAACAATATTGTTGAAAATGTATGCCAAATTGGAAAAAAGTTTGTCACGCGTTTCATCATTCAGGACTTCATCGGACTAAATTTGTTCCGACTACACATGCGCACGAACGTTGGGTGCTGAGGTTTTTAGAATTTATTTTTTTTATATATATATATATATATATATATATATATATATATCAGGTCATCCCATAAGTTCTGTCCGAATTTTGAATAAAGAAAACAAGTGACCAAATGTTACATTTAATTACAGATTCAATCAACAGTGTATTTTCTCTGATTATCTATTAACAAGCTCACTATTTCCATTACTGTATAATTCTTTTGGCTTTGATTCGAAGAACTCACAAATGTCAGTTTTAACCTCTTCCTGTGTTACAAAAGCTGTTTCTTCCAAATGATTATGTAAGCCACGAAACAAATGGTAGTCTGAAGGAGCAAGATCGTGAGAATAAGGTGGATGAGGAATTATCTCCCAACCAAGTTCTTCGATCTTTTGTGACGTGATTCTTTCTATGTGGGGTCGCGCATTGTCCTGATGAAACATCACCCCTTTTCGATTCACTAGAACAGGTCTTTTTCCGTCAAAGCTTAGTTCAAACGCTCTAATTGCTGACAGTATATTTGAGCATTAATTGTTGCATTAGGTGGTAAGAATTCAAAGTGGATTTTCCTTGGCGATCCCACAAGAAAGATAATGTTCGGTTCCATTAGACATTATAAAATACTCTTTAAATTTCGTTCATTTTAACAAAAAGTTAAATTTCGGACAGAACTTATGGGATGACTTGATATATATATATAATTTAGAATCTTTTTTCTTTATCTTTCCGTCACTTTTGTAAGTAGGTATCGCACACTGTTATAATTGACGATCTTCCAGGAATTATGAACTGTTGTAAAAGACAGGGCGCAAATTTAAAAATTCTAAAAATCCCTAGAACCCCATGTTTGTGCGCATGTGTAGCCGTACCAACATAACAAATTAGTCCGATGAAATCCTGAAGGACGAAACGCGTCAGAAGTAAATTGTTTACACTTTTTCTTTTCCCCAATAAATATATATATATATATATACTCAAATTCTCCTCGGACCTCAAGTGGAACTCGTATATCCGATCTAATGCTGAAAAATGGTTTGTTCATAGCACAGTTCATGTATTTGACCTACCCTACCTGCTATTACAAGAGTCAAATCAGAAGAAAAATTGCGACGCTATCGGGGCTGAATCTGCCCAGTCCTCACTTGCCTGACTTCATAGAGTTCAAAAGCGTCTACGCGGCCTTATGGGTGATGAATTGTTTTCCAGCCTACAACTTCTTTCCCACCGAAGAAACGTCGCGAGCCTCTCGCTGCTCTATCGCTAATTCCATGGCATGTGTTCTGATGAGCAACATTCATTTGACCCACCAGGCCTGACCTTTGAAACTGTTGCTCCAACACAAGAAATGATTTTTGATTGCGAGAAAAGACGGACGAAAAAGATACATCAGAGACGCTGTTTCAGTGAAAAAACGAAAGCATACAAAATAATAAGAAAGAAAGATTTGTTGACTGATTTGTTTTTTGTTTTTTTTGTGTTTTTTTTACGGCTTGTCAATCCTTTATCAGTTATTTAAAACCGAATTTTGTATTGTAAGTATAATACTTTTTTTTTGTATCTCAGTATTCTATTAACAACTCAAGGGGAATGACCATGGTTTTTCCTGATAAAAGCCTTAATATTTAACCCATAGCGGGGAAAGAAATGAATTCATATTGTCCTCAAGAAAGATGAGGCGATAATGCTTACATGAGTTTAATGTCTGCTTCAGGGAAATGGAAAATCTTGTTAATTTTTAACCTTTTCATTTGTATCCTTTTAATTCATAATTTAATAACATGCGTTTATTATTATTATTATGATTGTAATATTTTGTTTAAGTTGTTAAGCTCAAATATTTAATGATGCAACAGGAGAATTTTCACGCGTACCTTTTAGTCGTTGAACTCGCAAGGAGTGCAATGAAACATTAAATTAAGAACTGCAATTCCTAGGAAAATTTAAATAGGAAGACTATGAAATTTGACAGCTAGTTCGAGTTTATATAATTTAAAATATATTCAAATAATATAAACGTGAACCAACAAAGAAAGAAAGAAAGAATATCGGAGTAACACAGGGACTAAATGAGAAATAAAGTAACAGTGAAATTGATCTAAGTAGAAGATAAATGGGAACAGGTTCGAGCGCGTAAGTCCATAAGTCGTTATTCTAATGAATGAAAAAGAAGATTTATTTTATATAACAAATATTTATCTCTAAACATAATCTCCTTTTGTCAATGCACTTAACCCAATGCCTCTTTATTAATCACTTGCATTGAACATTGCACTGTAAACATTTCAGATTAACATTCAGTTAATAATTGCATCAGGCTGTGGATTTATTGATCAACAATCATAGATAGATAGATAGATAGATAGATAGATAGATAGATAGATAGATAGATGGCATATTAGGATAGATAAATATAGGGATACTGAGAGAGTGGTAAAGAGAATTTTAGGAACAGATTAATCCCAAATGATAGATAGATAGATAGATAGATAGATAGATAGATAGATAGAGAGAGAGAGAGAGAGAGAGAGGGGGGAGAGAGAAATGGATACGTAGTGAAAGAGTGTGAAAAGAGGGAGTTAGGGACAGATTAATTCCAATACTGACAGACAAAAAGATAGATAGATAGATAGATAGATAGATAGATAGATAGATAGATAGATAGATATGAACAGACTGGGATAGATAGATAGATAGATAGATATGAACAGAATGAGATAGGTATGAACAGGCATAGATAGATAGATAGATAGATAGATAGATAGATAGATAGATAGATAGATAGATAGATAGATATGAACAGACTGGGATAGATAGATAGATATGGACAGAATGAGATAGATATGAACAGGCGTAGATAGATAGATAGATAGATAGATAGATAGATAGATAGATAGATAGATAGATAAAGAACATATTTAGATAGATAGCTAGATAGCTAAAAAGCACTCCACCCCAACCCCAATTCTCACCTGCTGAATATGAGAAACAGTACGAAAATTCACTTCTCATAATAGTACATACTATATTACTGAGGACATTCGTTATCCGTTGGTCGCTTGTTTCCTCCGACCAGACAATACGGTTTAAAAAATTCATAGAAAAATATTAATGATGAATACTGAGTGTGTCAAAGTACTGAGGAATTGGGAATGCTGTCACTTAGTTCACCCTCAGGCTAATATAGCGTATAATAGTTACATGGAATCTCAGAGAAAACCAGAACAGAAAAATGAGAAAACCAAGAAGAAAAGCAAACTTGAATTATGTCTCGTCGAATTTGACGGCAATTCACGCTGTTCCACTTATGGATTGGTATCCGGAAATGTTCGACTACACGCATGCGTAAACACTAGCCACACATATACATATACGTATAAATAACTTTTGTCAATCGAAGGTGTTAAGATGAGTGGATAGATGGACTGATGAATAGATATGTTTGAATCAAAACAGAATATGGCAGATTAAAAAAAAATTCAAAACGAACGATGGAATACTGAAATGATAATGATTTAACAGCCAAAGAATATGAACAGGTTATATATATATATATATATATATATATCAAAATTTTAAATTATTTTTTACTGATGACGAAAATTATTCAGCAGCAGACCCAAACATTCATGCAAATTATTACACAATTATGTGTTAAATGCGTGTTTCAAATTGGTATATTACAGAATTACCTAACTAGATAAATAGCTATAGGAGACAGGTCTGTATGTGTATGTACTTTTATGCCATATGCATGTTCGTATACACATACATATATATTATATATAAGATATTTATACATGAACATGCTACTATATATAGAAATATATATATATATATATTAATCGGTGTTGCACCATGCAAGGTAGTAAATCCACTAAGAGCCAAGTCGTTACAGGTTGTGGAAGACTTAGGAACAGAAACAGTGATTATGGATGGATAGAGAAAAGAGTAATCATGAGGACAATAGATAGCGATTGACTTTGCATTAAATTTTTGCGATTTACATTTGGCTAGAAAGGCTGTATATATATATATATATATATATATATATATATATATATATATATATATATATATATATATATATATATATATATATATATATATATATATATATATAGAGAGAGAGAAAGAGGGAGAGATACTATGTTCATTCAAACAGATGGCTAAGAATGAACTGAAATTATTTCTCATCTTATGACTCGATCAAATCTACTGATAGATCTAAGCTAATACGTAAAAATATATGGAATTGCTTATTAGTGTATGTCCCTATATATGTGTCTTTATTAATGAAGCTAATTGTATATATATATATATATATATATATATAGAGAGAGAGAGAGAGAGAGAGTGTGTGTGTGGGAGAGAGAGAGTGTGTGTGAGAGAGAGAGACTTGCCCATCCTAATTGTACGAACGGAGAATATAGATACATAATATATTATTCATGTAGCGACATTTGGAACACATAATACAGTTTCCCTTTTCTACAAATTGACGCCGACTTGTTTTCACTGAATTGTTAACCTAATATTTCAATGGAGTTGTTGGATTCGTTCGATTTCATTCGAGCCTTAAAATATTGACAAACAATAATACTAAGCTATTTATGCCACTTTCCAACCTCCCTCCTCTCTATATATATATATATATATATATATATATATATAGACAGAGATAAACAGAAAGAGACAAACACTATATTATAGTAAATATATATACATATATATATAGAGAGAGAGACAGTGAGAGATTATGGTTTTATATATATATATATATATATGTGTGTGTGTGTGTGTGTGTGTAGAGAGTGTGATAGAAACTGGGACAAACTCAAACAAAAAAAAATATTATAGTAAATATTTTGACATCTACAACACACATATATATATATATATATATATATATATATATATATATATATATATATGTGTGTGTGTGTGTGTGATCTGTGTGTGTCTGTTTGTGTATATATATATATATATATATTTCTTTCTTATATATATATATATATATATAAAGAAAATTATGAGATAACTAGACTCGTTTCGAAAAACCCTCGAATTTTTGATTTCCTAATAATGAAATCAATCTCGAGGGGAAAAAAGGTTTTAAAAAAAGAAAGAGCTACAAACATGAACTTCTGCCGACAAAAAAATCGCACAGATGCAGGTCTGAAGCCCAAAGAAAAAAAACCTATACGAGTAAACAACTAACTAACAAAAGCGCTCAATACAACCGTAGAGCAGACCTAGATACACCTAGTGAGCCAGACAAACCTACCTAGGTTTTACCTAAACGGATCGTCAGAGAAATTAAGCCTTACTTTCCTGACGATCCGTTTAGGTGAAACCTAGGTAGGTTTTGTCAACTCACTAGGTGTATATATATATATATATATATATATATATATATATATATATATATATATATATATATTTCACAAACTGACGCAAAGAGAGAAAAATATTCGGTCATTATTCGGATAAATAATTTGGCACCTTCAAGCAAACAAATAGCTACACGCATAATAGATAGATAGATAGATAGATAGATAGATATGAACAGACTGAGATAGATAGATAGATAGATAGATAGATAGATAGATAGATAGATAGATAGATCTATCTATCTTTGAATTTTAAGTTTTCTCCACTTTAGTGAATTTTCTTCTTTCTGAATGACATCTCTGGAAAGCTCTGCAGACTCCTAACTGCAAGAACACACAGGCGTTGTCTCAGATGCAAACACCTGTTCACACTCTTGTCCATGTGCAGAGACATTCTAACACTCCGTACCGGGTAGCAGAGATGCAATTAAAAGACTCGTTTTTCATTATCATTTATATTTAATGAATGATTTTTTTCATTAATTTCTTCGCTTTTTGTTGCTTTTCTTTCGCAACTCCCTTTGCTTTGTTTTGGTTGTTAAGTTTGCAGCAATATATTTGTTCTGAGCTCCGCAAATGGAAGCTTTTTCAATTTTGATTAGTTTTGATCATTTCTTGTTAAAACTGAGATAAAATAATCTCATTTTGTTTATAACAACTTTACTTCAACGAAAACTGCTTCGAGGGAAAGCAACATGAATAATGAAGAAATTAATTGAAATTGAATGGAATATGTGTAATCACATCCACACACACAGACACACACACACAGACACACACACACACACACACACATCCACACACACAAACACGCATATACATACACTCTATCTGGCGATAGGCTCTTTTTCGACCTATGATGGACTAACAATAGAGGTTTTGAAATCTACTTCGACACCACCTATACACATGATTTCATTAAAATGTTCAAGGTTTATATAAAGCCAGATATATTTTCGGAAGGACAGATAAAAAAAAAAATACAATAAAATGTGATTGTAAATCTCTAATAAGCCCTCCTCAGGTTTAAATTCAGAATACATCTTCTTAGACTAGATCACAATCAAGGCGCGAAAGCCTAGTCTACCCTACTATTTTACACGCATGTGTGCGACAACACAACTTCATGCGATCTAAGATATCTTAATGAAATATAATTCGTTACCGAAATGATGGTGGTTAGAAATACGGGCGTTTTCAACTGGGCAATCTACTCTATCATATCTATATATCATACAATAAACAATATATATATACAATATCTCTCTGTCTATATATATATATATATATATATATATATATATATATATGTCGTCAACGAAATGATGGTAGTTTTTTATATATATATATATATATATATATATATATATATATTATACTATATATATATATCAGAGAGGCTATTCCTATCAAGGGTAGGTATATGTGCTCGGATATCAGGATTTTATTTCATTAGCACATATGAGCTCCTCATTTATAAAGTTGCTGTTATAAATCTTCCTTTTTCTTATTTCAAAATTTCGTCTTACGTCATACAACGCTACGTTTATATGTATCGTATGTATCGTAAACAATAACACACACACACACACACACACACACACATATATATATATATATATATATATATATATATATATATATATATATATATATATATAACCTACTGATATTCTTTGCCTATTAAATCATTATCGTTCCAGTGTGTGTGTGTAAAACAAGACGGTATAGTAATGGATAGCGTCTCGGATTGGTGAATCGGAGAGCCGAGTTCGAATTCCAGTCGAATCCATTGCATTCAGTTACTTGCTAATACTCTTAGGAAAGGTATGAATCGTCGTCTTCTCCCCGCGCCAGCTATGAAGAAGAAGGAGAGGACAGAACGGGTTGGCAACTGGGTCTAATGCAGAAAGAAATGGCAACCTACTGCGGGAAAAAATCTGCCTTATGTATCGAAAGATTCATGATCGGCTAAGCGATGACACATAACTGACTTATACATATATATATGATATATATATATGATATATATATATGATAAAAATATAGTTA